CCCACAGACCTTACAGCCTATTTACATAATGCTATTATAATGAAAATTATCTGCATATTTATTCATGTTGAAAAATGTGTAAAATCATTATTGATTTATATTATGAAAAGTTTTAATTTTTTTTTAAAGATTTTGTTTATTTATTTGACCAATAGAGATCATAAGTAGGCAGAGAGGCAGGCAGAGAGAGAGGAGGAAGCAGGCTCCCCGCTGAGCAGAGAGCCCCGATGCGGGGCTCGATCCCAGGACCCTGGGATCATGACCTGAGCTGAAGGCAGAGGCTTTAACCCACTGAGCCACCCAGGTGCTCTGAAAAGTTTTAATTTTAACATACATTCTTGTACCTGTCTAGCCAGGTTACAAATAAACTTTTCCTTTCCTTGGATCTTTAAATTGAGCTCATTCATGTGCCTTGTGATTTAGGAGAAAAAAATGTAACTCATACTCGGATGTTTTCTATTTGTTGAATACTGGCAGGTGTTCTTTCATTTCAAGAAAATCTTGAATTAGAGGGACAGGGGTGCCTAGCTGGCTCATTCGGTGGAGTGTGCAACTCTTGATCTTGGGGTCGTGAGTTTGAGGCCCATGTTGGATGTAGAGATTACTTAAAAATAAAATCTTGAGAAAAAAAAAAAAAGGAAAGAAAAAAAGAGGTGTGCCTTGGTGGCTCAGTTGGTTGAGCAGCTGACTCTTAATTTTGGCTCATGATTTTGGCTCAGGTCATGATCTCAGGATCCTGGGATCCAGCCCCATGTCAGGCTTCATGCTCAGGGGGGATTCTGCTCAAGGATTTTCTTTCTTCCTCTCCTCCTACGCTCTTGCATGTGCATTCTCTCTCTCTCAAATAAATCTTTTTAAAAAAATCTTACATTAGAGTTAATAGTACAGTAAATCTTTGTGAAACTCTTTCATGACTCAAACTCAAGCAGTGAACATTGGCAAAGAACTTTTCTAACAATATTAAAGATCATTTAATTCATTATCATGAATTATTATGGTCATCAAATTCATTATCTTCTTTTTAAAAATTTTTTTAGCTTCTATTTTTTAATAGTTTCATAAGCTGGTAATGATTCATAGCAATTGTACATATATACATGTGTATATATATACATATATACTGAACAATTTTAAATAACTGCATCCATATACAGTCTCTTTCAGAACACAAATATTTTCAATATGTGTCACACAGTGAAATAAATATAATAATAAGGGAAATCTAGTAAATCCAGATTTTAGATCTCACATAGCTTGCCCATTGTCTTTTTTTTTTTTTTAAGCTTTTTTTTTTTTTAAGCTTTATTTTAGAGAGTGAGTGCACGTACCTGCACAAGCAGGGGAGAGGGAGAAGCAGTCTCCCCACTGAGCAGGGAGCTTGATATGAGGCTCAATCCCAAGACCCTGGGATCATAACCTGAGCCAAAGGCAGACGCTTAACTGAGGACAGACTCTTAACCAACTGATCTACCCAGGCTCCCCCATTGTCTGTCTTGATAGAAACTTTTTCCTATCTAGCTGAAAGTGACAGACGTAAAAGACTAAAACATATAGTATCTACAACTTGCAGTTGATTAGATGTAGACATTTCTTTGTAAATTTAGAAGTTGTTTGAGACACAACATAACCAGAATGTTAATTGGTCAGTGTCTTTGTGAAGCTCATTTAAAGCTAAAAATAAAAGTACTTGCAATTTTTCAGATGTTGAATTGATCTTTAATATTATTAGAAAAGTCTCTTATTCACTGACACTCACTTGATGGGTCAATTTAAGATCGTTCATGTTTTGTGAAATACCTTTTTTAATCTTTTCCTCAAATTTTAAAACCTAATTCCCTTAACTGAAATGATAATTACATTTTTTATCTTTCCATCTAAAAATGGTTCTTTTTCTTGAGCAAGAATCCCAGCCATTTTATAGTTTGCCAGAATGATAAGCTCAGATCCTTCAATAATTATGGAAACATTTTTTTTGTTTAATGTTTAATTCTAATTTCATTAGCTGCTTTACTTTTTTACTGTTGAAAAGCAACTTCTTATTAAATGAATATGCATTTGCTGAAGATGACTCTTAATATTATCTTAGAACTTCTTTTATACAACTTACTCATTTTTCTCTGCTACAACAAATCATATTGCCATCCTTTGTAAAATTTGTGACATACCTTCTCCACTTGATACTGCCTCATTAGTGTGCCTTCATTTGAAAGTTAAAATTTTTTCATAATTTTTAAGTTAGAAAAATAATTTGTATTAGCAAATGTATAAGCATTTCAGCTTAACTACCAGTTACTATTTACATAGTTATCACTGTAACTCTGCTGTCTGCATAAAATATTCAAATAAACACATTGTAGTGCTGCATTGTTGCATAGGAAAATAGCCATCTGTTGACACAAACTAGTTGGGGATATGCTTGTGTAATACTAGAAGTGACAACATGATCCATCATGTACACTGCAATACATCTTAGGTGATATAAGTGATATAATAATCTTAGGTGATATAATAATGAAAGCGAAATACAGCTTCGTCAAAACCATAAAATTGTGTTTAGTGGAAAAGTATTTTTTATTGCTTTAGTTAAGTGACATTTTGTATCAATCAGAATTTTTTTAAAAGTTAAAATTCAATTTTCTTAAGTGGCATCAGCCACATTAGCACAGCTCTAGAGCCGCTTATTTACTTTAATGATGTAAGTTCAGAGAGGTGAAGCAGCTAGATCCAGTTAATCCAGATTAGTTTAGAATGGAACAAAACCATCAATAAACCTATATTCAATATATGAAAAATGTTACTTTAACAAATGTTTTATTCCTTGTCTAAATCCAATATCACACCAAAAAGAATCACTTATTTATTTTTAAATATTTTTTTTTTTTTTAGATAGAGCAACAGGGCAGGGCAGAGGGAGAGGGAGAGAATCTCAAGCAGGCTCCACGCCCAGTGAGCAACCCGAGGAGGGGCTTGATCCCACAACGCTCAGATTGTGACCTAAGCCAAAATCAAGAGTCAGATGCTTAACCACCTGAGCCACCCAGGTGCTCCAAAAAGAATTACTTTAATAAGAAAAAAAAACAGTTACTTAATTTAACTGGAAACAGTTTGTTTAAACAAAGTAACAGCTTTTTTGGTGGAGATTTAGGAGTTCACTTTTCAAGTAGAGATCATGGCATACTGTAAATATATGAAAGGTTATCTAAATTTGCTCTTAAGACTTCATTTCCCAGATGAACAGTAGTATTTAGCCTGGTTTTTGTTTTGAATACTGAGTCTTGTTTTATCTGTAATACGTGCATAAATTTATGCAAGCATAAAATGAAAAGGAGGAATTAGAGTAGCAGCATAATTTTACTCTCAGTGAATGCTTAAGCTTCTTGGAGGAACTCGGTGCCTTAAGTCTAAATTTACAGCGTAGACCTTACTCTCTTAACATTATGCTGAAAAGAAGCAAGAAATTAAATCTTTTCACTAATTTAATATTTTACATTTTATAAAACTGATAAAGAATTATTCTCCTGCCATTGCAGGTACTTTGATCATAGGGAAATAGTCCAGGATGTAAAAGATAGCTTCTACTATTTGTGAAAATGTCACGAAACTTGGAGAATACCTTAGAGACTCTTGATTGACAATGTAGGTACTCAGTTAATGGGGGAGGGGTGTTAAGTAATTACATATATATTACTGTTTTAGGTAAAGTTTCAAAAGCATTCACTCGAAATTTTAACTTCTGTAAATAAAAGACTTTAGGAGACATGCTTTTCCATGTAACCTTTTGTCTTCCCATTACTTTCCTCCATTTTCTTCTCATGTTTAATAGACTGATTTCAGATATGTAAGAAATGTTTTTGGATTCTGCTAGAGATGACCTAATTTTTACTAATTGCTATGCATTCAAAGTTTTATTTACTCAGAATGGCAGCATTACTGTCATTATTCTTAGGTAGTTATAATAAGTAGTTTTATACAAAACTATTCAAAATAATATATTGGTACTAGTTTGTAAGTTGTTTTTGTTTGTTTTGTTTTTTTTTTTTTTTAAAGATTTTATTTATTTATTTGACAGACAGAAATCACAAGTAGGCAGAGCAGCAGGCAGAGTGAGGAGGAAGCAGGCTCCCTGCTGAGCATAGAGCCCAATGCGGGGCTCGATCCCAGGACCCTGGGATCATGACCTGAGCTGAAGGCAGAGGCTTTAACCCACTGAGCCATCCAGGCACCCCTAAGTTGTTTTTGTTAAAATTGGCCTCATTCCAGGAAAAAATAATTAAATGCTAATGTAGAAGGTGAAGTTTTTTACCTGTGAATCCCTATATTTGCTTATTGACTTGCTAAAAAACACACACACACAATATCAGTTTTAAAGAACACCTTAAATATCTTTAGTCAGAGCAGTTATCAGATTCCTAAAAGATGTAGCCACTATTTTATACTTTCGTTTTCTAACACCTCAGAATGAAGATTATTCTCAACTGTCTGAATTCAATTTATTTTAATTAAATTGCTTTAAATGTATAGCTTTATTTTTAGTTTTTTTCCCCCTTAAATTTAACTGTCCCTATTGGTTGATTACCTTTTCCCTGCTCTTCATTTAAATCTCTTCTCCCCCCAAATTCCCTATTATTTTGAGCTGGGACTATGACCTGAAAGCTTTAAGCTTAAGGCTATGTGAATCGACTTGGTGCTTTTTATTTTCCATGTATTATGCACCACTAAAAAGAATGTAACACATGTAGCAGCTTATTTTGTTTTTGAAGGAGGAATCGAAGAGCTTTTGAGTAAAAATGTGAAAAAGAAGCTAGTGCTCATTGCCTACGTGGCTTTTTAAAAAGGCTCTTAAAAAACATTGTGGATTCCAAGTCCTCTTTAAATTTACCACCGACAGTAACTGCCGCAGAGCCATGTGATCATCTTGGCAGTAGCCTGGCCTGTTAGTGATTTCATTACTGTGGTTTCCTCAAGCTCTTTGCACACATTGATTAATATTTTTCTTGCAGTTATCGCTGTGATGATTTTGTGGTTAATGACACCAAGCTGGGACTGGTACAGAAAGTCAGAGAACACTTACAGAACTTGGAAAAGTAAGTAATAGGCCTTGGGAAAGGAAGGGTATAGAATAGGGTAGAGGGATCTTTGCACATTTTTTGGGTGGGAGTTTTGTTAATGAGTTCCATAACTTCGTCATGTTTTTAGTGTGATTGAAATGTTAATAAAGTAAACTTTGGATATCTGAAACTTTGCCCATAGTTAATGGTCATAGCTTAGCATTTATTTCATTTAATATTTATCATAAATCATAGCCAAGAGTCCAAAAGCCTTTTTTTTTTTTAAATTTTTTGTTATTGCCTACCAATTTATAAGCTCTGGTCAGTTGATTTGCCAGGGAAATTTTGGAGGTGTAAGGAAAGGGAATGAAATGATAGAAAATTATTGTGGATTACTTCTGATATTAGAAAATCCTCGTCAGGCCTGTTTTATGATGTTTTCTCAGAAGCACTAAAATTTATGCATTATTTTTAAGGGAAATTAGGTTTTATTATATTGTCCACTTTGCATCTATAGAATAGCACAGCATTCTAGTTTCTTCTTTTCCTCTTTTGTTAGGGGCTGTATGTGTGACATGAAATTACAATAGATTGTAAAATGCCTTGTATCATAAAGAAATTAATGTACTTATATGAATAGAATTTTTTTGCTATAGCCAGATAGGTTATTCAGATAAAACTCACTAAACCCAGAGTTGAAGCAGTAAAACAGAAATCCAAATAGTGATGCCTTTGAAGCTGCAGTGGATAGAAGCATGACCCTGGAATGACTGCTGACTCCAGTGAAATTTGTGTAAATCATGCCTGATTGTCAGGTGCCATCTAATTTATTTTGACAGTTGACATTAAAAACTATTGTGAGAACATACCAAAAGGAGGAGTCCCTTAGCAAACTTTAAAGCAACAGAATGTTTTTAAATCCTATGTTGAGAGGAAACAGCCTAAGTGCTTTGAATAAAACAGTATATCGTTTTCATTAACCAAAGTCTTTATGCATATCTTGTTGACTAAATAGATTATAAACCTGATAAGGAAAGAAGGATGGATTTCTTTAAAATCTAAACTCATTAAAACACTTTGAATTAAAGTACTTTCTGGCTTGTTATCTTTTGGCTCCTCTCTTTTTCAAAGTGCTTCCTTCCTTCTTGTAATCTGAAATAGAGCAGCAGAAGCCCTACCTAGGATTAGAGATACTACCATGTCAGTCCCAAATAAATGTATCAGAACTAAGTCAAAGGGAAAAGAGGACATTCAAGAATGAGCATGCATTTATGCAGTTATCAAATCTTTTATTTCCACTGACCACTTCATCACGTAAAAGATGTCAGAGTTCCTTGTCTACATTTCTGTTGGGTCCCACCAAAAAGTCTTCCTTGCAGTCCTCCTAGGTTGAAAAACATTAGTTGGGTTCATTTTTCTTCACATGTGGCCTTTAGTCTGTAGTGGGAACCACAGTTTCAAAACTGTGAATGTGTTTGTGTTTTATATATCTTTAGACTATTCTGCATATCCTGTAGAAGTGCACTGTACAAAAGAACTTTTTGAAGTGAACAAAGTGTTGTATACTCTGCACTGTCCTGTATGGTAGCCCCTAGTCTTATGTGGAGCACTTGAAAAGTGACTAGCATGACCAAAGAACTGAATTTTTAATTTTATGTAAGTTTAGGTAATTTAAGTTTATATAAGTAAGTGGCTACCATATTAGACACTGTGGATCTGGTGAATTCTGCCATTTTGAGAATTGCTGAGGGTAAAATTTAATAACTTGTATTTTAAAAAGCTGAATGCTTTGTTTATGTAGGTTAAAACTGAAAGTTAACTGTTAGGCTTATTGCTAAGTAGTGTGTGTGTGTGTGTGTGTGTGTGTGTGTGTGTGTGCGCGCGCGCGCACGCGCACTTACGATTGAACCTCTTTACTTACAGAATTGTGAAGGAATAACTTGACACTGTGATATATGGAATTGATGTTTTCTTACTTTACAGTCACTGATACTCTTAGAGGGATATACCTACAGTTTGGAGGTGTTGCCTAAGAAGATTTTTAGTTTTGAACTAACTGTCACTAGATCTGATGCTCCAAAGATACTAGAGTTCATGTGGAAATTAAATAATCCTGCATTTAGTTTGGACTACCCTGGTACATTTTAGAAGATGGAAAAGAATAAGCAGACTTTAAAAGTCTGTGTTGTTCAAGTGTGGGCTTTAGTCTATAGTGGAAACTATAGTTTTAACAGTATTAACAGTAAAAAATGATGATTTTTACTTCTTTTAGATTAGGTCTCCTGACATAATTATTTTAAAATGACCCTCTGAAAGAATTATTTTCTGATAAAATTTAAGCAATATATCTCTTTCATCAAGAAAAATTTTGAAAAATTTTAATTCAGAATATCCATGTAATTAGAATTTTTTCAGAATACCCCTTGTAACATAGCTGAATCAAATTAATTTATATGTATCTGTGTGCCTATAATTATTTTTCAGAAATTCATATTATATCATAATCTGTTATGACAAAGGAGCAAAACAGGATATCTGTATCAAAATTAAGAAAAAAAAAGCTTAGTACTTGAGACTTAATGTTAAATCTCAGAATACGTATCAGACAAGGGTTTTCCTTTGGATGTGAGGAATGGGGCTTCTCATTTTTGAAGGCTCACAGTCAATTAGGCAGGTTAGTGGTAGTGGAGAGGGATTGTCTCACAGACTACATTTACCTGGCCAGCTTTTCTGGGAAGTGCCTAGTGGTAGATGCTTGCAGCCCACCTTGCTAGAGAAGTAGTGGGGATTGCCAAGGAAAGTAGAACTTCTGACTTAAATACTTGTGGGCAACAGTGGGCCTAACAGGTCACTTCCTGGCCTTCCTAAGCGCCAGGCAGGGCTCTATACCCCAGACACTTAGAACAGTGACGTTTAATTTTTAACCTGCTTTCTAATATGTTTGTGTTAATGTCTTTTTGACTATCTGTTTGTGTTTTAATAGCTCAGCTTTTACAGCTGACAGGCATAGGAAAAGAAAACTTTTGGAAAACTCATCACTAAACAGCAAGTTATTAAAAGTAAATGTAAGTAATTAAATATATACAAATGTAAAAATTGGTTGCGATCTAGTCACTGTTTTATTACAACTCTAACATTAATGTTGCTCCTTATACACTTTCATAAATGTATGCCTTGGATTTGGGATATTTTACAAAATGTTTGCCACTTGTACTAATGATTCTTGACGTGACTGAATATCCCAGTGAGTCCATCTGTCAGTGCCTTCCTTCCATCAAGGTTACTCCTGTGCCCCTCTGCCTTAGCAAGTGTTCGTTCTTAAAGCCTATTCATGTATCTTATTACTCTGTTTCTAAGGACCCCAAAGATATTTGCTTTCTTCTGTTAAAGGTTCTAAGTGCAAATTCTATGGGTCTGAGGTTTTGTAAATTTTATCTCTAGGACTTCATTAATACAATGTCACCATGAAAGAATATGCTTCCTCATTCTGATAACTATCTGTTACCAATGTATGATCTGTTAATAAATTAATAAAATTTAGAGATCACTAAATACTTTTAAATACATCAGTAATTTTGCCCTGCATCTGCCTTTCTGCTGTCATGCTAGTTAGGTTTAGACATGCACTTAATTAAAGTCTTAGGATTTTGTGAAAGAAAGAGCTAAAGTACGCTGGCCATCTTAGTTATGGGCAGAGATGCTTCAGGTGGGATTGGTAGATCTGCTTCACAGGTGTAGTATTCAGATGTTAAGGTGCATTTGTAGAGCTAATCAAAAAATCAAGTCTTGGTCTTTAAAGGAAATTCAGGTAGTTTTTAAAAGTTGATATCCCATTGCTAAGAATGCATGTATTGGTCATTTATGCATGGCATAGAGTTAAAAGTTTGGAGATGAATATTTCAGGTATATATATTTATATATTTTAAAATTTGTAGTATTTTTTTCTCTTTTTTTTTAATTAACATATAATGTATTATTTGCCCCAGGGGTATAGGCCTGTGAATCATCAGTCTTACACACTTGACAACTCTCACCATAGCGCATACCATCCCCAATGTCCATAATCAATTTGTAGTATTTTTAATAAAATCTCATGAAAATGTTGTCTTAAACTTCATCTCTTTTAAGGCTCTTCCTGGTTTTCGAATTGTGTACTCCATGGATTTCATTAATGTTGATTTCCTCATAAGCTTCCATGAGGTACTCCCATGTAGGACAATCCCAGGATCAGAAACAGGATTCTAAAAATATCTGGACACTTATACAGAAAGTAGAATGAGAGTTTGAAATATTAATTGGACAAAAAAGGACCAATTCCAAATTGGCTTGATGCTAGAGTTTCAAATATAGGCCTTAGCTTTGATGTCTGAAACACCCTTCTCTTGGTATTACTGATGGCCTTTTCTTGTCCCATTTTGCAGGGAAGCACTGCTGCCATCTGTGCCACAGGACTCCGGAATCTGGGGAATACATGTTTCATGAATGCCATCCTTCAGTCACTCAGGTACTGTTAACATCAGAGCTTAAGATGCTGGTGTTAGCTTCTAATGAAATGGTTAGGAGGAAAGGCTCTGGGTTCACGCTCTGTCTCTGCCACTAGCTCCAGTCAGTTCCCTGTGCCTTAGTTTCCTTATTGGTAAAATTAGGGATAGGAGTTCTGCCTCATAGGAAGATTAAATAATTTATAAAGGGTTTAGAACAGTGCCCAGCAGTAAATAATTGTTAGTTGTTACTATTTATCTCCTGTTGCTTCTTGAATAAATTAGAGCAGAGATCAGCAAACTTTTTCATTAAAGTGGCCATGACAGTAAGTATTTCAGTCTCCACATGCCACCCACAGTCTGTCTCCTATCTTTTCCTCCTCCCCTACCTTTTTAAACAACTCTAAAAATGTAAGAGCTCAGTGGCCCAGGACCAGATATGGCCTGTGGGCTATAGTATATAGACCCCTGGACTGCAGGGGTTCAAAGAATTTAATCTGATCATTAGTTAAGTCTTAAATATGATCATAAGATCAGATGTTTAGAAGATCTTTAAAATGTAATATAAGTAGTAAAAATAAAATACCCCAACAATGCTGGCCTCAGTTATAGAGAAGAAATTATTTTGAAAGTCATGTACTTGTAGATTTTAATGTGGCATCAAAGGCCAGAATAAATTCTCTTCCCAAGGCCATCTTCCAAATAAGGAGCAGAAGTCATACTTGATCCCTCCTTGAAGGTATTATCTCTTGGTTTATCTAGTCTTGTTCAAATAAGAAATTCAAGTCACTACTGAATTCCCTTATCACTCTGTACTTTGTATCTAAACAATATGGTTGGTTTCATGGTTTATTTTTATTTGAGGAAATTATTGAATACCTGGAAACAGGCATTATTTATTTATTTAAGTTATCTCTACACCCAGTATGGGGCTTGAACTCACAACCTTCAGATTAAGAGTCATATGCTTTTCCAACTGAGCCAGCTGGGTATCCAAGAATTCAGGATTTTTTGAACAAATTTTGCTTTAAGCTCTTTGTTCATTTCTACAAAGTTATCTGTTAATACTGTTTTCTTAGAGTAAATGCGGAAACTCAAAGCAATTTCTAAAAAAATTCACATGTAGGTTTTATAGAAGTTTCTTTACAGTCCTAGTAAAGTCTTTTATTTTCTTCTTCTTCTCTTTTTTTTCTTAATAATTTTCTTCCCTTCCTTTTAAAATAGTAACATTGAGCAGTTTTGCTGTTATTTCAAAGAACTGCCCGCTGTGGAGTTAAGGAATGGGAAAACAGCAGGAAGGCGAACATACCACACCAGGAGCCAAGGGGATAACAATGTGTGAGTTCTAAGAATATATCCTTTCTGGCTTTGAGCTATAAAACAAGTGACTCTTACTGGTGATTTCCATTGCATTCTGTGAGTTAATAGGCATAGCATTTTAAAACACTCTCCTAAAACCTGGGTTTAACTGTCTAGCTGATGATCTTAACAGTTGTTGCAATTCTTTTATTTCTATTTACCTAATAGGAGGATAAATTTAGCTCTCTACATATTAAGTCTTTGTGGATTTGAGCTCTAACATTGACATCTGGATATGAAACACAGTTTTAGATGTAGATCAGCATGAATATCATTAATCTTTGTGAATTGACACTTGTCTTATAGTGTTAGATAAATCTGTTTTGGATAATAAAATTAATTTGTAGTCATCAAATTAATTGTGGGGCAATGCAGCCAATTTAGTTGATATGGAGTGGGAAAAATTGACAGGTGATTATTGAGAACGAATATGTATGCAAATTCATTGCAGCTGTGTTCCATTTGATGTTCAGAAGATCTATATTATGATTGTAATGGGCAGATTTTTTTTTCATATCTTAACATTACTAAAGTAAGGCTCTGATTTATAATTTGTGTCTTTTTTTTTTTTTTTTTTTTTAAAGAGCGCATACATGGGGCACCTGGGTGGCTCAGTGGGTTAAGCCTCTGCCTTCGGCTCAGGTCATGCATGGTCTCAGTGTCCTGGGATCGAGCCCCACATCGGGCTTTCTGCTCAGCAGGGAGCCTGCTTCCCCCTCTCCCTCTGCCTGCCTCTCTGCCTACTTGTGATCTCTCTCTCTGTCAAATAAATAAATAAAATCTTTAAAAAAAAAAAGGGAGAGAGCACACATATGCACATGCTGGGGTGGGGAGGGGCGGAGGGAGAGAGAGAGTCCTAAGTAGGCTTTAGGCCCAGCACAGAGCCCAACATGGGGCTCAATTTCATGACCCTGAGATCATGACCTGAGCTGAAACCAAGAGTCAGATGCTTAACTGACTGAGCCACCCAGGTGCCCCTAGTTTGTATGTATTTTAATGTAATGTTCTTTCTGCCTGCCCATTCCTGCTCTCATTCACCCCATCCCCACACATTCTGAAAAGCCATTTTACAATCGGACATTGTTCTGCCTAAGTGACTGAGGGAGATTAGGATAGAACATGTCAGAATAGTGTGCATTATGGATAGAGTCAAAGCACCAGGGAACTTTAAAGCCAGACATTGAAGTAGGGATGGAATCCTACCATGACAGTTGATATCTTAAGAGTTTGCTTTTGCAGCATATAGGATGAACTGGAAAATGCCTGCATTCAAGAAGACTTCACAATTTATAGTAGTTGGGCTGGAGGAGATAGCAGTGAAATAAGGAAGAAAAAAATGCATTTTCACAAAAGTTAAGAGGAGAATTAGTAGTACTTGATGCATTAGTGTTATTTAGGGTTTAGTTACAAACTGTAGAAATTGGCTCTGGCCATTGTAGGCAGAAAAAGAGCTTAATGAAGGTCTGTTGATAAGCTGTTACTGGATGGGTGGAAAATCAGGTCTGGAATCCAGACATCCAGGACCATCACCACAAGCATCCCGTGGAACTCTATCCCATAAGGATATCACTGCTTCCGTAACATCATTGTCCCATAACAACACGCTGCCCAGTGTGTGACACCAAAGTTCCTATTACCAGCACTGTTGGAGTTGGATGCTGGGTGAATGCTGCTGTTACTGCTGCCCCTGCACTCCACATGATCTTTGTCACCAGCAAAGATTTGGCACTGCCCCAGCTTTGTATCACTAACTTCAGCTTCAAATAGGCAGAATTCAGGCTATACATCTGAGTCTTGGCTGCAGGAGTTGAGAATTTTCATAATGGGAGGCAGTCTCTTACTAAGACTTTTAAGGTGAGGAATTCCTCAAATACAGAGTGTCCAGGAAGTAAAAAATACGATTTGTATCTCAGGGACCTACTGAATGACAGAGGTTGAGCAAGAAGTTACTGAGATTCTCTGAGATATCAATCAGATATACATGAGTATGGTAGTTGTATTGACAGATACAGATATTAAAGTTGTTTGGACATGTTTCAGTTTAACTAGTTATTAGAAGTGTTTCATTCTAGCTACATGCATAGAAAAACAAAATTAATAGTGACTTAAACATCCACTGTTTATTTTCTCATGTAAAAGCTGGAGATTATCTATCTAGGGCTGTTTGCCACAATGATCAGGATCCTTCTAGCTTTCTATTCCACCAAACCTAGTGTAGGGCTCCTATGCACATAGTTCAGGGTGGTGCTGGAGTACCACCATTTCGTTCTTCGAGCTAGAAGGACTACTCTTTCTCTTTAAGGAATTTCTCAGAAGTTGAACACAATCAGAGTTTTTTATTCCAGGAGTTCTTGTGCCAAGCAAAAATTGGAAGCTTTGTTCCTATAAGAGAAGAGGAGAGAATGGGTATTGTAGGATAGTAGAGAAGAGTATAGAGAGCAACTTTAGTGCACATTGAGTTTGAAGTGACAAGAGGACATCCAGGAGAAAATTCCTCTTGGAAACTGGAGAAACCTGATGAAAAGTGGGCATGAGAAAACCTAGCTTTCAGATTTGGATTTGGAGTCCTGGTGTGGAGTTGAGTGTTGAAGCTTTGTGGCCAGATGAACGGTCTCAGGCAGAGATGAGCAGATGGTCACACACTGAGGTCTGGGAAGTGTTCCTCATGAGGGGCAAGATGGAAAACTGCAGGAAAAGGAGAAAGAGATTCTGTTTTAAGTTTTTAAAAAATATAAGTTTTAAAGTAATTTGGTTTGTAACTTATCTATTGCTGTATTGTATAAGTATGGCATTACTTTGGGACAAAGTTCACCATATGGTTAACAACTAATTTTGTCTATAATTACTGCAGTTTATGTGGGGTTTTGAGAAGCTCTTACTAAACTGTCAGAATTAGTTTAGGAGAAACCAAACTCTTTATGTTTTCATTTTTTATTAGGAATTGTAGACAATTGGACATTATACATTGAAACAGTAGCCTCTGACTAATGCCAGGGGTATCATCCCTTCCTCTTTTCCAGGTCTTTGGTGGAAGAGTTTAGAAAGACACTTTGTGCTTTATGGCAAGGTAGCCAGACTGCATTTAGCCCAGAGTCCTTATTTTATGTTGTTTGGAAGATTATGCCAAATTTTAGGTAAGTATTACTTAATGAAAGATACTTAAAACATTAATATTAGTCTTTCTTTGGTTCCTGGAACAATTTCCTATGAAGTTGGTGGTATTCTAACTAATAAAGACTGGTTTTATTTTATTTTTTTATTTTTATATTTTTAGAACCCTGGGTGGGGTGGGGGAGGAGGGTTTGGGAGAGGGGCAGAGAGAGAATCTTTAGCAGGCTCCATGCCCAGCTCAGAGCCTGATCCCATGACCCTAAGATCATGACTTTAGCTGAAATCAAGAGTCGAACGCTTAAACAACTCAGTCACCCAGATGCCCCTTTGTTTTGTTTTTAAAAGAATAACAGCAGTTGGATCGTTTGACTAGACAAATGTGGGTGTTTAAATAATATATAGACATTAAAAATGTCTAACAAATGGTAGGATATTTTGTCATTCTAAAAACGAAGATTTTGGGCGCCTGGGTGGCTCAGTGGGTTAAGCCTCTGCCTTCGGCTCAGGTCATGATCTCAGGGTCCTGGGATCAAGTCCCGCATCGGGCTCTCTGCTCAGCAGGGAGCCTGCTTCCCTCTCTCTCTCTCTGCCTGCCTCTCTGTCTACTTGTGATCTCTCTCTGTCAAATAAATAAATAAAATATTAAAAAAATAAAAATAAAAACGAAGATTTTGTAAATAACTCATGTGCCCTTGTAAATAATTTAGGAAAACATGCCAGACAAAATTCCTTTAATTCTTTCAAAATCTTATGAAGATCCATTACCATCATACACCATCTTATTTCAACTAAAAAAAAAAATCCATTTGTAGTCTGCAGAAATCTGTGGTCTTAAATTCACTGTTCTAGGTTGGGTTTTGAAGTCAAGTCCATTGGGATTCAGTTTGCAAAAGGTAGCTGGGCCACATCCCAATGTGGCTATAGAGTCATGTATTTTCCTTGGTCTCTCTCTAGCATCACTTGAGGAGGGAAACAGCCTTGCCAGAGGAATCTGCCTCTTCTCCTAGGTTAGTCCTCTCAGTAGGGATGCAGGTAACAGCAGATTTGAGGCACTGCAGGTGTTTGACAATAGCCTTTGCCACCGTCTGCTGATTTTGTCCTTCTGAAGCAGGTCTGTGCTCTTGCTAGTCAGGAGTTTGGCACCTAGAGTAAGTACATCGCTTTCCTTTTGAAAATAATAAAAATAAAAACACCCAGCATGCTGTATGTAGTAAGACTTAGTAGTTTATCTTGCTCTATTGCCTAATAGTGGTTTAGATATATTAGTAGTATAGAAGAGTGTTTAAAAGATAATAACCTCAAAGAGCTGGCATTTGTTGCCTTACTCCAGAAGTCTAGCCTTGAGGATCTGATATGATTGACTGTTGTTACCCCTGGTCTTTGTTTTGAAGAAAACTTCTTTTATATATTGTGACATTTAAATCTCCTCTCAGAAGAGACTAATTTTGTAAGAATTTTGAAGTTTCTCGACTCCAAAATAGGAAAGGTGGAAATGACTGCTAAGTTATCACTAACCAGGTTTGGACTTAATATAACATTTCTAATATAGTCTCCCAGTTAGACTCTTGATAGGGATATAGTCTTTGTGTTTTGTTATATAATAACAAAAGATCAGATATAAAAGGCCTAAACTGCTTAGGCATTCACTAAATAGAAACCAATTTTATATATTTAGTTTCTATTTAGTGAATGCCTAAGCAGTTTAGGCCTTTTATATCTGATCTTCAGTAAAAAAATAAAAACAAAAAACCACAAAATTCCCGTCAAGAAAGGAAGTTTTAGCTCCATTTTTTTAAATTAATTTTTTAATTTTTTTATAAACATATAATGTATTATTAGCCCCAGGGGTACAGCTTTGTGAATCGCCAGGTTTACACACTTCACAGCACTCACCATAGCACATACCCTCCCCAATGTCCATAACCCCACCACCCTCTCCCTACCCCCACCCCCCCGGCCACCCTCAGTTTATTTTGTGACATTAAGAGTCTCTTATGGTTGTCTCCCTCCCGAGCCCATCTTGTTTCATTTATTCTTTTCCTACCCCATTAACCCCCCATGTTGCATCTCCTCTCCCTCATATCAGGGAGATCATATGATAGTTGTCTTTCTCTGATTGACTTATTTAGCTAAGCATGATACCCTCTAGTTCCATCCACGTCGTCGCAAATGGCAAGATTTCATTTCTTTTGATAGCTGCATAGTATTCCATTGTATATATACCACATCTTCTTTATCCGTTCATCTGTTGATGGACATCTAGGTTCTTTCCATAATTTGGCTATTGTGGACATGGCTGCTATAAACATTCGGGTGCATGTGCCCCTTTGGATCACTACATTTGTATCTTTAGGGTAAATACCCAGTAATGCAATTGCTGGGTCGTAAGGTATTAGCTCCATTTTAAAAAAGACAAAACTGAGACGGAGCAGGAAGAACTTGTTCAGTCTTACACATCTAGTAGGTGTTAGAGTTAGAACTCAGGTCTTTGTTGAATTGGTAAAGAATAGATGTGTCAGCAGTCATTTGTCTACACGCCTGAGTGAAGCCTACCAACTAACTTCATACTGCTCTGCTTGGTTCCCATGGTGACTCAGGTCCTTTATTCTTAAGTGAGAGTTTAGAAATTGTATGAAACTTTTATTCAGTAAAATTCTACTTTTCCTCAAAATCTGCCCACATCTCTGCCTTTTATATAAAGTATCTATAGCCCAGCTGTGAGCATGATTTAATTTTTCGCTGCTTAATTTTGCACATTCTGTATCCTTAGCAATGAAAGGAAAAGACTCTTGGAGAGGGTGACCAAGTTGAGTTTCTGCAGTGATTCCTAATTCACATGAACTCTTAGATTCCGTAGTGACTGATGGGAGTAGAATGCCTATGTATTCTCAGCAGGGCTTTCTCAGTTTCACAGTAATTGAAGTCATTCCCCATTTTCTTGTAATCGATGAATAATTTGCTCTTGGTTAGATCTAGATCTTGAAATTATATCAAGGTTAAAGCTTAAGTGTAAGGTCACTGCACAACCCCCAGGGGCAAGGCCGGGAGATGTGGGGCTTTCTTCCAAAATTGTTGTTCTTATTAAGTATGCAGGGTAAAGTTCCTGTAACATGGCCTGTGTGGAAGTGCCAGGAATCTTGAACTACGTTTCTGTTGTATTTATGATCACAAAATAAAATTTTACGAGAGGTTAGGAAGCTCATTTTCCTTGATTAACCTATGGTAAGTTCTAGGGAGTTTGATCCCTTGGAATGACCTATGAGGACTCTGAAATACATATATGCATGTGAAAGTAGGAACAACTTTTATCCATTAAATAATGAAAAAAAAAATATATATATACTGTAAATGTAAACAACAGCTTTGGATATAGAAACAACCAAAACTATTTTTTCTTTCTTCCTACTCAAACCAAAAGCCAGTTGCCCAGTGGTAAACTTACCAAAGTTTGACCTTTCCAACATACATATCTACTTACCACACTTCTTATGGCATCCTAGTATGCCCTGCTTTTCCTGTCTCTTTCCTTTTCAGGAAAGTAACTTAAAGTTTATGGTGTTTGTTTTTTTTTTAAGATGTTATTTATTTGAGAGAGAGAGAGCATGCACTAGCAAGCAGGGGGCAGAGGGGGAGGGGCAGAATGAGAGGGAGAGAATCTCAAGCAGACTATATGCTACACTCACTTGGAGCCCTTTGTGGGGCCTGATACCAGGACCATGAGATCATGGCCTGAGCTGAAACCAACACTTGGACATTAACTAACCAAGCCACCTAGATCCCACTAAGTTTATGTTTTTTAAATAGGTAAAATACAGGTGGCTGAGAATTTCAAAAGGTAAAGAAAGGATATATAATGAAAGTTTTTTCTTTTACTTTATTACCCAGCCATTCATTTTTGCTTTCTAGGAGCAGCTATATGTACTAGATTTTTGTGTATCCTTTTGTTGATATTCTGTGTTTGTGTGTGTGTATAATCTTTAACATAAATGGTAACATATTCATGCTTTTTTTCTTACTTAGAGGTAATTCATGCTGGTATCTAAATAACTTCTCCTTTCATTTTATGGCTGCACAATGTTATACTTTATAGTTGTATCGTAATTTATGTATAGTTCCCTATCAGTGGTTATCTAGGTTGTTTCTTACCTTTTGCTGTTCCAGACAGTGCTGCAGTAGATAGTATCATACATGTAGATGCAAGGGTCTCACAATTGCTGGATCAAAACATACTTGCTTTGGGGTGCCTGGTTGGATCAGTTGGCAGAGCATGAGACTCTTGATTTTAGGGTAGTGAGTTTGAGCCCCATGTTGGGCATAGAGATTACTTAAAAAAAAAAAAAATATTTGCTTTTAGTTTTAATAGTCTTTTCTGCTAGCCTTTTTTTATTCTATGCCTTCCTTAACATGATTTTATCTTTTTATCTCTGTATCTTTGTCATGTTTGTCCTATGGTATTTGCCCTGACCTCTGTCTCCTTCTTTAAGGTACAGCTTAATGCTAACTGTCTAGGAGAATCTGATAATTCAAATTGCGTCATGGTATTTATTCCCTTACTTCTCATATCATTTATATGCTATTTCTACTTTCCCATAAACTTACTCTAATATATTTGCCTTAACTTCCAAGGGAGTTTTCTTTAGTTTTGTACTTATCATTTCTTGTAATTAATGTTTAAAAACAATGGGTGAATAAATTACTAAAAACTTTTTTCTATTAGCTATTCTGGTAGATCTTTGTGGACAACAAATGGGTCTCTGCATGTGAGATCTTAAAAATAATCTTTCCAGGTATACTGTTGATATTTTATAATTAAGCAGTATTAGTTCTGTCTAGGAATTTAGCTGTTGTATATTTTTTGTGTGTTTGTAAGCAAAAAGAGCTATTTTTATCATTTTCATTTTCTGGTGTTCTTGTCTTGGAGAAACTCAGCCATGATTGGTGTCACAAAATGTAGAATAGCAGCTAAATTTGATTGATTTGGGTTATATCAATTTGGACAAAACAACAACTCAGAATTCGTTTATGAATGTTAAAGATTTTTCTTTTTTTTAAGATTTTATTTATTTATTTAACAGAGAGAGACACAGTGAGAGAGGGAACACAAGCAGGGGGAATGGTAAAGGGGAGAAGCAGGCTCCCTGCCAAGCAGGGAGCCCAATGTGGGGCTCAATCGCAGGACCCTGGGATCATGACCCAAGCCGAAGGTAGGTGCCCAATGACTGAGCCACTCAGGAGTCCCAGATTTTTTTTTCTTCTTAAAGATATTTAAAAATAAGAACAGAGCCTAAAATTACAGTGTGCCCTAGGTATTTTAAAAGTTTGTTCTAGAAAGATAAAATTTTATTCTGTATAGGCATATCCTGTTTATGATTGGTCTTTCCAACTTACACATTATGTACCGGTACTGCCAGAATGCAGAGAATAGTCAGTAATGCACGGGTGTATATGTCACAGTTAGGTGTGTTGGCATCATACAAGTACTTGTGTGTGCCTGAATTCTGTGGTATCTGTTTCATTATTTGGAATGTCTGCTTTTCACACTTGAGCAGAGGAACAAAGTAACGTTTTCTTTCATCATTCTTCATTGGGGCAGTTCTTTGTTAATAAGATTTGGGTAAATATAGCTTGTCACCTTATGCCAAAAACTGTGAAGAAACACTCTGTATTTCTTCTGCACATTGTGTTTCAGCAGTGTCCCTCTTTCTTGGCCCCTTCATTCAGAAGGGGTGCTTCGTGATCTTTTGGGCTTTTATATTTGCATTGTGCTTTCCAGCCATTATTCATCACAGCATCTTTAGGACCCAGAGTTTCTCTAAGCATTAAGAAGGAGGTAATCTTTACCTAAGGTTGTAAACAAGTTAAGATAAGGAACAGTATTAACATCGGAGCCACTGTTATTTCTCTGTCTTCTTTTCTATCTTATTTCCAGTCTGTTGCAGAAATACCAGTTGGTTCTTTATAAATCCATTTCCTCACTATTTCACCAGCACTAGTTTGGGTGATATCACTGAGATAATTTGTATATAAAACATAAACATTGAACCTAAATATGAGGAGTGTTTCCTTCTACATGATTACTAAGAGAGACCCAAGTTAACTACTAACGAAATTTTGAAGCTCTGGATTGTATAATTGGGAAGTAATTGAAAAGATCATTGAAACTTTTTGAATTTAACTTACTTAATAGTATTTTTTTAAAGATTTTCAGAGAAATCAGTGAAGCTATTATTTGTTTAAAAATAGAGTTGTAAATGTCTGTTTAGTCAGAGTTGGAAAAATTTCATAGTCTTAGAAGAAGCTGATTTTGTGTGTTTTTTTTTTTTTTGGTAAAGATCACAAATTGAAACAGAAATTTACCTTATACCCTTATAAAACAGCTGAGTGTTCCATGATTTCATGTATGTTAAAAAAATACATATTTCTAATGGTAAAGGAAACATTAGAAAATAATGTGTTTTGATACAAGAAAAGAGAATCAAAAGAATCATGGTGTGGTTGGAAACATTCATGAATGTAATTAGGCAGTTTGTTTTTTTGCGGATGTTGAACCAACCTTGCAGCCCAGGAATAAATCCCTCTTGGTTGTGTTGAATAATCCTTTCAATGTACTGTTGGATCCTATTAGCTAGTATTTTGGTGAGAATTTTTGCATCCATGTTCATTAGTGATATTGGTCTGTAATTCTCCTTTTTGATCAGGTCTTTGTCTGGTTTTGGGATCAAGATAATATTGGCCTCATAAAACGAGTTTGGAAGTTTTTCTTCCATTTCTGTTCTTTGGAATAGTTGCAGAAGAATTAGTATTAATTCTTCTTTAAATGTTTGGTAGAATTCCCCTGGGAAGCCATCTGGCTGTGGGCTCTAGTTTGCTGGGAGATTTTCGATTACTGTTTTAATTCTCTTGTGGGTCATGGGTCTGTTCAGGTTTCCTTTTTCTTCCTTGTTCAGTTTTGGTAGTTTATATGTATCTAGGAATGCATCCATTTCTTCAAGATTGTCTAGATTGTTGACATAGAGTTGTTCATAATATGTTCTTAAAATTGTTTATATTTCTTCGGTGATAGTTGTGATCTTTCCTCTGTCATTCATGATTTTATTTAGTTGGGTCCTTTCTCTTTTCTTTTTAATAAGTCTGGCCAGGGGTTTATCAGGTTTACTAATTCTTTCAAAGAACCAGCTTCTAGTTTTGTTGATTTGTTCTACTGTTCTTTTGGTTTCTATTTGATTGATTTCTAGGCAGATTGTTTTTTAAAAAGGGATGGTCATGTGTTTGCTGAAAGTTCAAATCAACATAACTACAAAGTACTGGTTTCATGATCCATTTTAGAAAAATGATTAGATACTAATTTATTTTGGTGAGAGAATGAAACTATTTTTATATGTGATAGAATTTCAAATATGACCTAAGATACCTAAGATGCCTCTTACCTTTGAGTCATAAAAAAATGGATGTTGTAATGAAAAAGTTTAAAGCACCTCTGTAGAGTTTTTTTTTTTTAAGTACCTCTTGTAGATATGTAAAGGAGCTAACACCTTTGAAAACTTTTGACTGAATTTTACCATTTTTTAAAAAAGGAGTCTTAGAAGAACAACTTAAACATATATTGAGACTCAGTTGTTAAATAGTTCAGAAAAAGTTATACTGAAATGCTAAAGTGACTTCTGACTTAAGTTCCATTGGTTAGGTAGATGCTTTTCATAATTTATGATTTCCACAAGAAATTTTAGGAAAAGGGGAGAAATGTATATTGAGGGAAACTCTGAAAGACACCTATGGAACCATTGCCTGGAAGAGTGGTGGAAGTTTTGACTCAAGACCAAGCCAGAAAAACTTGTGATTTGAGAGATAAAGGGAACTTTACATGTTGGCAGAATGTAGGCAGAAATCTTTTCTATCTGTAGTTTTATAAAGTACTTTATGTATATCATTGCTTGATTTATTTTATCTACATAAACCTCTGTAACCTTTAAGTGTACCAACTTCGTGTTCTGTCAGTCTTCATTACTGTTCACTTGTCATGGTCTATATTAGTATAAGAATTCCGTATTAGGGGCACCTGGGTGGTTTAGTCAGTTAAGTGTCTGACTCTTGATTGCAGTTCAGGTCATGGTCTCAGGATCTTGAGATCGAGCCCCAAGCTGGGCTCTGCACGGGGCATGGAGCCTGCTTAAGATTCTCTCTTTCCCTCTTCTCCTTCTCCCCTCCTCCCTTGGTGCTCTCTTTCAAAAAAAAAAAAAAAAAAATCCGTATCATTTCCTTTCTGAATTCAGTATAAGAAATAACCTAAGAACACTGAAAAAATTAAATTAAAACGAAAAGAAAAATAACCTAAGAATATGTTGCTGCTTTATTCAAGTTTTAGGCTAGAGCACAAGTGTATATGAGTCAATGCATTTTTTAAAGTATTTATATGAAAAATGTCTTAAATCAGAGATTAGGATCCAAGTAGAGACTGTTTAGAAAGTTTTTCTTCCTTTCAACCAGTGTTAAAAAAATCAGTATCTTTCAGTTTAAAAAATAGTTTTAAATTCCTTATCTCTTATATTGGTGGTTTATAAGACCAAGGTTTCTGGCGAGGGAAAGATGTGACATTTTAACATTTGAGCATCTTCTGGAGAGGCCATGTGAGATAGCAGGAAAACCAGAGTCCATCCCATCTCTGTTACTCTCTTGTTGTAGGACTTAGGCACGTAACACACCCTTTCTCTTGCTCCTCAGTTCTCTTCATCTGTAAAGTTAGTTCAGTTGAGATTAGCTCTCATATTCTGTGTTTTCAGACTTCTTTTAGTAGACTTTTTTCCTTTGTCGAGAAATTTGAGAAATTTTCCTTGAGGAGAAGTAAACCCTGACACAAGTGGGGATGAACAGCCAGGGAGTCCACTGTGCTCTGAGTGCAGGGCTGTAGCCCTTTGTAGCACTTTGCCTTCCTGCATGTTTGGCTGGGCATGTGGAGCTTCCCCAGTGACGGCCTGCTTTTTTTTGCTTTAAGGGGCTATCAGCAACAGGATGCCCATGAATTCATGCGCTACCTTTTGGACCACCTGCACTTGGAACTCCAGGGCGGTTTCAACGGTGTTTCCCGCTCAGCAATTCTACAGGAGAATTCTGCTCTATCTGCAAGTAACAAATGTTGCATGTAAGATGTAGTTTCCTTCTTCTTTTTTTTTTTTTTTTTTAGGAGGACCTCAGACATTTCTGTTTGTGTTATTGTTTATTAGATTTATCATGGAAGGTGGAGAGTTTCCCTGGACTTTGGCTGAAACTTTTGTGCACTTGAATTTTATAACCAAGTGGACTAGCACATGCCTCCTGCTTCCAACCAGAGACCTCTTGTACTTGCCTCTTGGTACAGTCCTGATAGTTTTTGGTACAGATCTTTTTAAAGGTTGAAAAAAAACCCAAAACATTTTGTACAGTTTAGCATTTGAAAATTCCCTGCCAAATATATCAAATGATATTTGGAAGACTTAATTTTCAGTACTAAAATAATTATATTTCTTCACTAGAAACAAAGGCTTAAAAATATTTTAAATGTGTATTTTCCTAAAATATATCTGTACTTTAATGAAATCGAGGCATTTGTAAGTTCTCAGAATTTTTCTTGCCTCTCAGTAGGAAACAAAACAAACCTTTTAGATTGCTTTCCTAGGTACTAAGACCCCAAAATATACATTGAGATTAGAAAGCTTATTTTGCTTGAGTTCAGGATGATTTACTGTTATTTCAGTCTAATTTTGTTTAATTGTAGTCTCCTTTTGTTCAAATTTTTTGAAAAGCTTTGTTTTGACCTGTGCAGGAAAGGGTTTTACAAGACAAATTCCCCAAAGACAGAAAAAAAAGAGTAAGTAATATATAGGGATCACCGTATTGTATTGCCTTACAGTTCATAAATCTGATTTAGTGTTCAGTTAGGGTCCTTTTAATGACAGAGCAGCCTCATAGCTCATCTGGTTTTATCAGAGAAGGGCAACTGTTTGAATTGCTATACCTTTTAAAATGTTTGGCTTTCTAGGTCCTGATAACTATGGTTCCAATCAGAAACCAGTACAGAAGGGGAGGGATCTGTGACCTGGTAGAATTGTTCTTGTTGCTAGCACCAAGTTAAAAGTAGTATTAAGTGAAAAATTCTGCTTTGTACTTTATGTTGACCTTTTGTATACTGAGAATATTGAACCGGGCTCTATCAGGGATAGTCTGTGTGAAGTAAGAGGATATATGTCTTTATTATTTTATTTGATGCCCAAGGCACCCTCCATGGAGTCACATTATGTAATAGTCCTAGGATGATCTTCTAGTAGCTAATGAGTTTTCAGTATTAACCCATGTCTGGTTATATTTTAAAGAGGAGTAATTTTAGGTTCCACTAATGAGATAGGAACAGAAAGAAAATTTTCACTACAGGATCCAAGGATCATATTTGCTAAAACTACAAAAAAGGTCTCCTATGCAATACCTGTGTTTACTTGTGTAAACACAGCCAATGCTATCAAAGGTGGGGATGGTAGTAATAAATGACAGATCTGTTCTTCATAATACATAGAAAATTATTGCTGTTAATACAGAAGACCCTAGCAAGCATAAAAGTCTGTCCGAGTAACTAATATTTAAACATTCTCGGCGTACAGTTATGATGAGAAAGCAGTTTTGAAATCATTTATGAATTTTGTTTTCAATCATTGTATACCTAACTTAATGCCATACACATCAGATAGCCAAGACTCGATGAGTATCCTTTTCTCAGAGGAAGAAATTATAAAGGAATAACTACATTCAGTCTAAATGTACTGCTTTTTCCATTGTAATTAAGGTCAGTATTATAAGTGAACATCAGTATGAAAGGGTCATGGTCCCTTGATTCCAGTAGTTTATTTGGTGTGCCCTTTGTTTATGACCTAGATCTTAAATATAAAATGGCTGTTATATTAGATAGTTCCAGAGTATCTTCCCTTTTTAATTTACTGTAGCTGTATATTTTATGAACAGATTTTTAAAAAGATGAAGCTGCAGTATATTTCTTTGGCCAGTAAAGAGTAGAAGACCTTTCATGGAAAGGAAGCAAACTTTTAAAATAATATAATTGCTCGAGTAGCTTTTTGTCTGTCTCATTGTGGCAGTAGGTTTAATTTGGAGCACCTCAGAAAGTAAAGTTATTAGGAGTGTTATTATTTGCAAGTGAGGGAAACCACCTCAGATTACTATTTGCAAAGAGCATTTTCTGACAAGTAACTGCATGCATAAGTGCACAAAGGTTAATACATGTTTGCTGTAGGACTATTAATGATAGCAAACAACTGAAACAACCTGGAGAACCATTAATATTATATTGGTTAAATTAAAAAAAGGAACATAGTGTTAAAAGCTGAGTGACCCTTGCCCAAGTTGGACCTCAGCTTCCTGGTCTGTAAAATGCGGATAATGGTATCTGCTTCTTAGCTTTGTTTTGAGGATTAACTGATTTAATACATGGAAAGTACTTTGAATGGAGTTCGGCATAGAGTAAGTGCTGTAATAAGCGTTTGCTAATCATGCTTTCATGGTACACTTTCTTGGTGGTTCTTGCATCCACTCTGTGTTCGTATTGTGGCATGCCAATCTGCTTTCAAAAAGGGTACGTGTTCAAGAGATGTACTTTGGAAAAAAAAAAAAAAGCAGGTGTGGTTCTAATTATTATCCTAATAAAAGAGCCTTGAAATAATTTAAGGGCTTTCTTTTTGGTAAACACCTGTCTGAAAGTACTATACATATATACTCCATTTCATCTTCACACCAGGCCTCTGAGGGGTTGGAATTAGCAGGATGGGAAGTGGGGCTGTGGGAGGCTAAGTGGCTTAAACCTTTTATTTGGTATACCTCTATATAGCTTTAAAGTCTTTGTATTACTTCATAATTTAAATAAATAAATTATATACATATCCCCCCCCAAAAGAAGTATAGCAGCTGTTATACATATTTTAGTTTTTACTGAGATGTTTTCCTGTGTGGTGATTTTTCCTGTGTGGTGATTTTCTTTAGAAATGGAGCATCTACAGTTGTCACAGCTATATTCGGAGGTATTCTCCAAAATGAGGTTAACTGCCTCATATGTGGGACAGAATCTAGAAAGTTTGATCCATTCCTAGGTAAGACATACTGTATTAAAATTTTAATGTTTCCTTTGAAAACTTAAGACAGTACAAGATAAATGTAAAAATACATCAATTTTTGAAATTCTTTTCTAAGTGTGGTATATCCCTTTAACAGCTGTTTTCCTATTTCTTTTTAAGACCTTTCATTAGATATTCCAAGTCAGTTCAGAAATAAGCGCTCAAAGAATCAAGAAAATGGACCAGTTTGTTCATTACGAGGTAAAGATACTTTAATGTTGTAGAATTCTTTTTTCCTCTGAAATAGCTGAATAGACTCATAAACTCCATCCATCTGTGTTATGTTGTTAATTGCTTGAATGAGTTTGTGTTATAATTTAACAGAAGTCAAACCTGAATGTCTCCTCCTACCAGAAAGAAAGAAAAAAAATGGGTGCCAGAGATATTAAGGCAAGCAGAAGATATTTCTCACCTTTTTCTTTAATACTGATTTTAAAATTGAGTCTGTAACAAGCTGCTTCTGAATGATATAGAATGTATTCTGTGGATGTCCCACTAGTATCCATAGAAGGAAAGAACACTTAGCTAAGTTTAATAAGTTATGATGTTACTCTTTTCTATGATTAATAGTTTTAGAAATCTACTGATAAGCCCGAGGCTCTGCTTTTATTTATTTATTTTTTTTAAAGATTTTATTTATTTATTTGACAGAGAGATTACAAGCAGGCAGAGAGGCAGGCAGAGAGAGAGGAGGAAGCAGGCTCCCCGCTGAGCAGAGAGCCCGATGCGGGGCTCGATCCCAGGACTCTGAGATCATGACCTGAGCCGAAGGCAGCGGCTTAACCCACTGAGCCACCCAGGCGCCCCGAGGCTCTGCTTTTAATTGAAGACTGTGAGATTTGGAATAATTTTTTTCCCCTGATTAGTGTTAACTATTTTCATCAAGGCCAAAAGATTGATCTTTGACCAATCCCTAAGGTGACTTACTGTTCTTGTTGGCCATAAAAAGAAACTAGGGTAGAAAAAAGAAAGAGGGCCTAGTCTGTGTTCTATCATTGAGTAACTCTACACTGAAGGCAAATAACATAATCCCTATGCTGAATTGTCTATTGACTAAAGGTAATTTTTTCCTCAACTGCTCTAGAGAATATTGTCATAAGGATTTTAAAAAAAATCTATATATAAGAGAGAGAACACACACACACCCAGTCTTTTCCTACAGAAGATTCTCACTGGTTGAAAACTGCACTGTCCACTATGGTGAAGTCACAGATGGTTGGTAAAATGTAAATTAAAATTAAAAATGCACTTGCTTAGTTGCACTAACCATATTTTAGGTGATCAGTAACTGCGTGTGACCAGTGGTGGTGTATTGGACACCACAGATGGAGAACATTTCCATTATTGTAGAAAGTTCTATCGGGCAGTACTGCTGTAGAATCAGATTATTCTACTGCCACTTGCTCATTCTCAAAAAATGTGCTAGTAAAAATACAACTGTTGCGGGGGGGCAGGCAGAATTCTGTGTCACAGGTGCATTTGGCAGCCTTGGGCTTGTTATAAGAGGAGCAGCAGAGGTCTTGCTTGTAGCCCTGTTGCTCAGGTAGTTTCTTGAACTCCCTCAGGGGGTAGCTGTCAAATACACTGGACTACTATAAGACAGGAGAATAACTCCGTATATGGAACATTTTGTAGAGGCTTTCAGTTGTTCCCTACCTTTGCAACAGTGTTGATGGTCTCTTTTGAACAGGAGCACAGAAGAAATTTAAGGAAGCTGCATCCACTCATTTTCCCTCTAAAATAGATGGTTTTGAAATACAGGTTTTGAAAATATCACAATATACTTGGTATCAAATCTCAGATTATTTTCTCTTTATATTGATGGCTTGAGAGTACAAGCTAACTTAATCATAAAGCAAATATTTGATCATTTGGAGAGGAAAGCAGTGAGGAAAGGAATTAACCTCAAACTCTATAATCTAAACCGGATAGAGCTTCATTTTATAATTTCTTCAAACATTGCTTAACATAACTATGTGGATATGTATTTGAACAATATTTCCTAAATAAAACTAAGTCCAGATGATCTTTGGAAGACCCAGAGACGCTCGTTGCTTCAGGGTTCTTTCTTCCTTCTGTACTGTGTCCCCCTTCATCCGGCATTGGTCACGTAGTATGGTTCTTATTGTACTCTGTAGCGTTTTACCTATTACCTATGCCAGAATGTTTTAATACTGAGAGACCTTACTTTCTTGAGATTGTCCAGGAGGAGATTGTATGACATAGCTTAAGTGGTTGATTGGTACTACAAATGAGTGGCAAATGGCATTTGCCTTGCTTCCCAAGTAGTATTTTTCTTGGCATAGACTCACTGAAATTTGATGGGATTGGGATTTAACTTCAGGGGGCCCAGACCATCCTGAAGGGTTTCGGGTTTGGCTGAAAACAGATTTCCTGTATTCTCAGCTGGCTTTCCTTTCAGTTTTCAGACTTGATTTTTATTTTGTTAAAGAGCTGACTGTTGGCTTAAAGAACTAGATGGTAGAGTCATTCTTTCTGTTTAACACTGTTATCAGTTAAGGGTACTACTTTTTTTGGACATCGAGTGTCCAGTTGATATGGATTTCTTTAGTAAACAGTTGGAGTCATGATTACATTTTACATGCTTTTATGTGCTTTAACACGAGGATTACTTGTGTGTTTTTTGGAATGTTAATTGACAGGCTTAGTTTTCATTTAGAAAGGAAAGGTGATGGTGAGAAAGATCCTTGGAATTTGAAATTATTTAACTAAAAACATGCAAATTATGAGAGGCTAAAATAATCCCAGTTCTAAAATCTGACAAAAAAGGAAAGATTATTATAGACCAAATATTAGCTAATAGAATCTAATACTGTAATAAAATAACATACAGAGATCAAGCAGGATTTCTTCCAGCCATGCAGAACTGCTATATCCAGAAAGAACAATTTTCTCTGGCCAGAAAAGTTCTTCTAGCTGGACTAAGAACCAAGTTGACATGAGACAGATGAGGAGGAGAGTATCGGATTTAATTTTGTATGTATGGGGAATCCACACAGACATAATATTTTGAAGACCAGCAACATGAGGCTTCTGTGAGCTGAGGGGGGTAGGAGTCTGAGGACACAAAGGGGAGAAAGACCATTAGCAGGAATGTGAGAGGAAATGTTTGGAGAATAAAGTTTCTCCTCTTAGGTAGGTTTCTTTGGTAAAGAAGAATCTCTTGTTAATAGTCACTTCTTGGTACAGGCTCTCCCTTGCAATGTAAATTTAGGCAGTTGAGGGGAAGGTAAAGCTTTTCCTGAATTTGCTGGGTTTGTTTGCTTTTAACTCAAAATAATGTTCATGCCAGAGTGGCCCATCTTGGGGTGTCCTGCTCTGGGCCCCTGCAGTTTTCTCCTCTGAAACTTCCCTAAAATTTCACACATTAAAATTAAGCTGGTCGATTGATTGTTCAGTCTTATTGAACCAGTCCTGTCAATAGGTCAGTTCAGACTTGTTTTGGGAGGCAGTGATGCAGGTTAGGCCTAAGGTTCAAGCAGTCAGGTAAATAAGAGGCATTTCTGTGGAAACAAAAACAGTGGTTAATTATAAACCAGTTTCTGAATTTTGAGGGTAGTCAGTCAAGATTTTTCGATGTTAAGTTTGAACCATCTTGAGTGCACTGGTTTTTAGTCTGAATGTCTGATGATCTTTTTGAGTGACCCACAGCAGCAGGCATGAAGATTGCCTATATGTGAGCTGTTGGGATGATCTCTCTGAAGTTTACATAAATTTAGTTTGTAGGGCTTCAGGGAAAAGGGCAGTTGTAGTTTTCAGATGAATCCAATGTAGAAGGTTGAAAGAAAAAATAAAAATGTTACTTTGGAAAATTATAGTCAAGCACTGGAGGAAATTAGAAGAAATCAAGATCTAGTCCAGGTTCCAATGAACAATATTGCAATCTAATATTTACTCAGATAGGTTATTGAAACCTGTTTTCTCTAAAATCACCCTTTATAGATAACCAAATTAATACTAATTTGTTTGCAAAATAAGTCTAGTTTCAAAAAAACTTGGCCTGATCATTTATATGAATGTGGCAAAGAATAGCAGTTGATTAGGTAGATTCTTAAAAAAGTTTCCAGCAGGTTTTAAAGATTGAAGTTTTAACATCCTCTTGAGGCCAGAAGCCAAGCCAGATACTTGCCATCAGAACGTCTTCAATTCCTATAGATTTGGGTGAATTCCTCTCTGCTCGAGTTCCTCAAACTATCCCTGGGTTCCTGTATTTGCCAGGGAGTGCCAACCTTTACTTACCTGGTAAGGCTGCTGGGAACTATGTAAGCAGGGTACCAAACTGGTACTTCGGGGGCTTTACTGGCTTCTTCTTTTTTTTTTAAAGATTTTATCCATTTATTTGACAGAGATCACAAGCAGGCAGAGAGAGAGAGAGAGAAGGAAGCAGGCTCCCCGACAGGCAGAGAGCCCGATGTGGGGCTCGATCCCAGGACCCTGGGATCATGACCCGAGCCGAAAGCAGAGGCTTTAACCCACTGAGCCACCCAGGCGCCCCTTTACTGGCTTCTTAAAGTCAACCTAGTTCCTTAAAGCTGTCTGGTCATTTAAAACTATCTGGTCATATCTCAGTTTATCCATCTCTCTCTCAAATAGGACATTCCAGTCAAAGCCTTGGTTATATAACAAATGTTTCCAATTGTGTCCTATTACAGGGAGAACAGAATTCTATTGAACTTATGCAAATAAATATAAGAATACTTAGAGTTTCTGAGTTCTGAAGAATTCAGGTAGGGAAAAAGATAAATGTTTCAATTTGTTCACAAAGGTATATTCTATTAAATTGCTTTAAAGGTCATAAAGAGCTAAAAAGGATAAATTTTTCAGTTCCATATTATTGTTTTGCTTGAATCCAGTTCTTCCACTAGTTCAGAAATTCTTACCAGTTTTATGTTAAGATTTAAGGTTACCAGAAACCTGTATTCAGAGTTCTTTTTATGAGTCTCACTGAAGATAAGGCACATTTGCAGTACCATCAGAGCAAAATAGTAACTGTATTAGAGTTCACTGTGATTCAGTTAACAAAGAAATTTGGTTATTTCTGTGACTCTCGACGTATAACAACATACTAGGACGTCAGGTTTCTAGGAGTTATACAATTTGAATACTTACCCTATCTACATAGAATATAATCTAAGAGGGTTTCGTATCACTTATTTGACAATGAAATATTCTAAGGCCTA